TTGCCCCCTGCCCAGTGCCTGCCACTTCACCCAGTGCTGAATTTCGTGCTTGAAGGCATGCAGCTACATGGTGTACGTGACTTGGACTTTGTCATTAACTTTGTGCTCTCTCTACACTCTTCTTTGTCATCTCCTCTGTGGCCATGTGACTGGCCATGCATTTCTCCATTTCTCCTTCCCCCCGCCGCCCCCGCCAGCTCCCATCCTGAGTGTTTGCTGTTCTTCAGTTACAGCCCCGCTCTTCATGTGGTGGTTCCCAGTTTGGTCTCCCTTCAGGAGGAAGACAGAAAAACCTCAAAACTGTCTGCCCCAAAGGGCAAGCAACTGCAAAGATGTGAAATTAAAAAGAAAATACTGTATTTTATATATTTTTAATGCATCAACATGCACAAATAAATTTTAGGTTAAGTCAAGGTGTAAAGGTGTACATAGAAGTATAGATGGGCTGTGTTTGTTTGAGATCAAGTAGCGCATTTAATTTGGTTCCAACTGCTTATAATTTTTTTTCCTTTTTTAACCTCAGGCTTTGAGGTTAAGATAATATTGTACTGCCTGTATTCCTTAATTTCTAAATTTTGTTCTACTCGTTTCTGTATGCCCCTAATAATTGCCTGCTTCCACCTTCTCTATTTAATTTTTAAAAATCTAATTTCAGGAAAGAGTTTGAAGTTTCCGGAGCCATGGCTGAAGCTGACATCAAACCAAAATCTATGCATCATGCCAAAAAATGGTCAGATGATGTAGAGAACTTATACAGATTTCAGCAAGCTGGATACAGAGATGAGGTTGAATATAAACAAGTAAAACAAGTTGATATGGTAAGATTTAGCACTCTGCAAGGGTTATTTAAACTTCTGTCTCATGTTAAACAGTTAAATAGAAGTGGAGGTGCTGCTTATTTCCTTTCATTTAGGCAAGTTTCTGATACAGGTTTTTTCTCCCTGCTCTGACTTGAATTCTTGAGCTATTATTATCTGTGGAGAATAACTTAATTCGCAGAAGTGAAACAGAAACACTACCCAGCCTGTGTTTTGTTCCCCCTGTCCTATGCGTTTAGAAGCATTATAGATTTCTTTGAATAGACGTAGCTGCTATCTAGAAGAATAATTCAGTCTTGAGGAAAGGGATACATCAAAGTGAGTTCTCTGTGAAGTTTCCCCATTACTCTACCAGTCAACCTGACAGGAAACTCGTTCGTTGTCCGGGGAGTCGGTCCCGTGTCATTGCTACCGCCTTCAGCTGAGCTGTGTGGTAGCAGAATGAGACTTCGTGCACACTCAAAACTTGGCTTCTGTGGAAACTGTCCTCAATAGAAGTATCTGATGCCAGCTGTGATAAAGGGAGTTGTGATACAGGCTTTTGTCAGCTGAGAACATCAAGGACTTGGTCCTCTACTCGCTGCAGTTGGTGGCAATGCTCATCAAATGAGCTAATGAATAATGGCCAGATATTCAGTGGCTACTTGAGATCCAAAATAGCAACCAAGAGGCCAACACAGCAAACAACGTATTTTCTTTATTACAGCTCTGTAATTTATCTTCCAAAGCAGCGTATATAGTATAAAAATCCACTTTCAAAAGATCTTAACCTCCTGTGCACGTAAGAAAGAGCAGAATTTTCCTGGAAAGTCACTCCTCGCCCAGTGAAGTCAAAGCATAGCAAAACCTTGATGTGCATAATAAGATGGAGTTTATTATTTTGTCATGGGCTCGGATACCGCTGTAAAGGCTGTGGTGTGACTTCAACTGTGCGAAAGGAAATCCTGTCATTAGTGTGGCAGGATCAGTCTGTTTAAAGTTTATGGCAGGGCATAACCATAGATAATTAAAGCCCGAGGGAAGTTAAAGAGCAGCACTTACTCAATGTAAAATGAGCGTGCGTTCTGTTCAGACTTGCCAGGGTCTGGCAGTGATTCTCTTTCAACGTACACATTTTGAAATGTCTTGTTCACTCCATATTATGTTTCCATAATGCAGTTGTTATTAATGATGTAATTATAATGTAGGTGGAATGAATATTAAGGCTGTTATGTTTGGGCAAAGAATGCAAATAACTCAGCTGTATGCCTGAAGTAATGAGGTAAGTGATGAAACTACCACTTCTGGGACTCTCCAATTAGAGAACGCTCTTGTTTGACGTCCTATTGTCAACCCTGCCTGGAAGAGAAACAAGATCCTTATTACCTGATTTTTAAGGTTCCATTTGATAGGAAGTAGTCATACAGGTGTTCAAGCTGCAGGTAGCTACTACACCCATAAAGCTGTTGAACGTACGAGTGCTCAAGCCTTTAGTTTAGAGCTTCACATTGTGGAACACTGAAGAGCACCAGGATGGTACTGGTTTCCTGCAGGACTGATCCTGCTGTCTTCGAGACTATGATACATACAGTTCACTTTATTTTTATGTAATTGCTAATGAAAATCATATTTTCACGGTCAGAAGGATCCTGAAGAAATCTTTTAAGTGTGTGTCAGTCTTGCAGAAGCGGAATCTTTCAGCCTCTCAGATTACTGAATAATTGAATAACAGTAATGTTTTATTCCTAAATGAGGAACTCTAAAAGCTTTGACTAGTCCACTTTTTAAATTATCCAGTCTATCAAATATTCTTGGATCCTTATTTCTAGACTTTTCTGATCACATAATTCTTTATATGAGACCAGAAAACTGGTTTCTGACATCTTGTCCTTAAGAATGTTTTAAAGGTTAAGTAAATTAATAGCAAAGTAGGGTTTAAGATTCAAATGAGGTTTTCCCATGGAAGTATGCTCTATATTCTTTGCAATATAATGCACAAACATCATTTACTGTGAGCATGTTCAGGTTAATGTATATCCTTTTTATTCGTAGGTAGAGTGTTGGCCAGAAACTGGATTTGTTAAGAAGCTTCAGAGGAGGGACAATACGTTCTATTATTATGATAAGCAAAGAGAATGCAAAGACAAAGAAGTCCATAAAGTGAAAGTTTATGTGTATTAGTTCTGTTATTGTTCTAATTTGTCTGTATTTTTTGATAACTCTGTTGTCAGAATCTGTAAGTAAATGAGATTGTGTAATCTGATTTACCTTAAGTATCGATGTCATTCTTGGATAGAAGAGGGAATACTGGAAATGTAGAGAACTCTGGAATTCATAGACGTAGGAGTTTCATTTTTTTCCTGTTATAACCAAAAGTCTTTTTATCCCTCAGTTTCCTACTTACAAATCTTTTGACATAAAGATAGAAAGCTGGTAAATGGACATCATATATTTGGGTTAACTGTGTGTAAAGTCCATTATAAGTACAGGCATCAATCTTTATTCAAAACAATATAATCTGGCTGACACTGGCTACTGTCAGACGCAGTCTTTTGGCACAGCTAAGGGTTCTGAGACTACAAAGGGGCCAAAGTCGGGGCCAAAATCAGGCCCAAAGGCCGTCACGTTAAGACTAAGGGTGTGGCGTTCGCCTGTTGGAGTCCTCTCAGGGACGTTCACTGAAGCAGTTTTGCAAATACGGAGAATTTATGAGAGCGACAGACACAACGGGTGCGGAATTGCCGTCGGTGAATGCACGGACTGCAATAGCGCTGATGCACCGTAGGAATGCTGGCCGAGTTTTCCCAGGTGTGCTTCGCCAGGGGCGAAGGCGCAGTTCTTGGCAAGAAGGCCTCCCTATCGCGGGTGGAGGATGAGGAGCACAGCCCGTCGACTGTCTCTTCTAGATCTTCAGTCCCGTTCTCCCAATTTTTACCCCTTATTCTCCTCTTTTTATTCTCTAATTCTCTGTTTCCCCTCCCATGGGTTATGTATAGCATGATTTAGGCGGAGAGTTGAGTGACATAGTCATATATGTATAGAATTAGGCAGGGGTGTTAACTGTAATGTTAATTTCCTAGATAATTAAGCAAAAGTTTCACTCCAGGGCAGCGTAGCCTTCGGAGTTTTGTGCTGAAACAATTTTTCTGCACTCTCTAGACAAAATAGAGCCGTCTTGCCTCCGCAAGGCTCCCTCCTTTGGCTGTTATCTCCCCTTGCAAGGTTTTTAGAAGGGAGAAGCAGATACCAGCACTCTTATCCTTTTGCTGTTTCCTGCTGGATGAACAAGTTGCTCAGCTCTGTCCTTGCTCTGTCCAGGGCACAATGACCTTACAAGCCTGGCGTTTCTCCACAAAGGCTAACTAAAGTTCCCTTGGAGAACAGCAAGAATAACAAGCAAAGACTTTAGTGAAGGACACCAAACAATCAAGTAGCAAGGACCAGTGCTGAGCTGCAGATTTACAAACTGGTTATTGTGACAGAAACAGTCACAACAAAAATGTCTTTCTGAGCAGTAGGTGAGGTATCTCCTCGTCAGGTGCAAGGAGGGGAGGAAGTATTGACTTGGTAGCGTATGCCTTTTTATGGAGGGGGGAAAAAAAAGATTGTGGATTTATATATGGAGGGATCAGGGCGTGTAAAACTGTAGGGAGAACATGAAACCCATACTGTGTAATATTTAAGGTTAGGTAACTTACACAGATGATATGTGGGATTTCTGGGCAGAATTCAGCTCATCTAGCTTCAAATATCGCGTTGTCAACATCTACACCTGATCTTGTCATCTGGACACCCGTTGTTCTGAATGGAGAGAAGCTGGCTCTTCTGGGCACAATTCATTTCTTCTAAATGTAGATATGTCACTTTGCTTTGAACATATTGCTGTGACATCAGCTCTGCAGAAGCTGTCCATATACGTGATAATCTGAGACACCCAGTAGATGTGAGGTACCGTTCTTACCTTCGCTCATGAGGGAAATGTAGTGGGTTTGACCCTGGGTGGATGCCAGGTGCCCACCAAAGCTGCTCTATCACTGCATCTCCTCAACTGGACAGGGGAGAGAAAAAATATAACAACAGGCTTGTGGGTCGAGATAAGGACAAGATCACTCAGCATTTGCCATCACGGGCAAAACAGTCTCAACTTGGGAAAAATGTAGTTTATTACCTATCAACTCAGAGAGGAGTAATGAGAAATAAAACCAAATCTTAAAACACCTTCCCCTCACCCCTCCCTTCTTTCCTGGCCTTAATGTTGCTCCCAATTTCTCTCCCTCCTCCCCCTGAGCAGCGCAGGGAACAGGGAATGGGGATTGGAGTCAGCTCATCACACTGTTGTTCCTGCTGCTCCTTCCTCCTCACGGGGAGGACTCCTCACACTCTTCCCCTGCTCCAATGTGGGGTCCCTCTCACAGGAGACAGTCCTCCATTACTTCTCCAGCGTGAGTCCTTCTCAGGAACTGCTCCAGCGTGGGTCTCCTCCATGGGGTGCAGTCCTTCAGGAACCGACTGCTCCAGCGTGAGCCCCCCCATGGGGTCACTAGCAGCAAACCTGCTCCAGCGTGGGCTTCTCTCTCTCCATGGGCCACAGGTCCTGCCAGGAGCCTGCTCCAGTGCAGGCTTCCCACGGGGTCACAGCTTCCTTCAGGCATCCACCAACTCCGGCGTGCGGGCCCTCCACGGGGTGTAGGCAGTCATCTGCTCCACCGCCCATGGGCTGCAGGGGGACAGGCTGCCTCACCATGGTCTTCATCACAGGCCGGAGGG